TAACTAGTAATGCCGAAGGTTAAACTCATAAAACAGGAAATTATCTAACTACCATTAGATAAAAGCTTACTTTCTTCAGATGACACCATTATGTCCTCAACTGGTTGATGTTGCTGCTTAATTTCTCGCACTCTGTTCACCCATAGCTTGGGGTATGAGAATCATTCATGAATTATCAATAGAAATGCAGAAAGTCCCACAACCGGGAAATGATATCCATAACTTTTAACTTACTTCTCAGGTTCTGGTGGTGACAAATCACCTGCATGCGTGGATGAAAAAGATAGTAGTAAAAACTGGAATTAGCAACACACGTTTTGAGAAAATAAGGCTAGTTTTCATTTATTAAAAAAAATGACCAGTGGCCACAAGACCAGGTTGTAGGACTGTCACTGGTAAAAATAGATCAATATATTAACAAGGAAAGAACTTACGACTAAACAAAAAAATGGAAATGGAATGCTCCCAAATTAACAAGGCAAGTGGGATTCACTAACCTTCGGATGCTAATGTGGCTAGACATGCATCTGACAGCCCAAGGTTTTTCAAACTCAAAGATTCATCAAGTCTAAAGAGAATTAAGGGATGTCAAAAGCTTATTGTTATCACAATATTAATAGTTATTCATTTTCAGAGCTTTAAGCAAAAAAATTGTGGAAAGAGAGGTACCAAAAGAAATAAAATGAATGGAAAATTGAAAAGAAAAATATATGCGAATTTTATTCATTATCATCCAGAACTTAATCAATCTAGTTTTAGTATTTCATCTGATTCTGAGCAAATCCTTTTTCTTCTATTTTTTCATTCCATACAAAATTTGTTAAGAAATTAAAAATCGTATTAAATGATGCGTAAATAAGGATACAAAACATCTTCTTCGAAATTTTTGAGGCTAGAATCGGCTACAGAGAGTGATCCGTAGAAAGAAGATAGACTATCCAATCTGTCTTCCAGATCTTGCTGTTGTATATCCTCAGCTTCATCTTCCTCCTCAATATCCGGAACTAAATCAATAAATTGAATGAAAATTCAATTCAACGAGAACAGAAAACTGCGAAGCAGAAAAAGGTCAGAGAACTTTTGTTTGTTTGAAAGTACCAGGAACGTAGCCGTAGCTTTTGAGACGATCTTCGAGTTCAAATAGATCGGCGTTGTTCTTCTTGTACAGTTCGTTGCAGTGACCTAGGAGCTCTTCGAAAGAGACGGTGCCGAAGGACATGGAGTGGAGCATGTCGAGGTCGGCGCTGGCGGTGGATACGTGGCGATTGAGGCATTGCACGAAGGTCGACGACGCGGAATCTGTCACAACAACGGAGGAATTTGGATAATCTCAGCAACCAAACGGAACAATTAGAGAAGAGAGAGAGAGAGAGAAGCGTACCGAGAGGAATAGGTCGGCGATCGATGGATTGTCTGAGGGCGTCGGAAGAGGAGTGAAGGTGGTTGCAGAAAGTTGCCAATGCGTTGCAGAAGCTGGAAATCGGATCCTCCGCCATCGTCTTATTCCTCTATGCAAATTCCATTTCCAAACCGTGTTTTCGAAATTTTCATCCAAAGCTAGAACAGGCGGGATATACACATTTTTTTTTATAAATATTAATTCATCAATTTCTTTTGCTCGCTATTCCCAACAAGCGCTTGTAGCTCAGTGGATAGAGCGTCTGTTTCCTAAGCAGAAGGTCGTAGGTTCGACCCCTACCTGGCGCGCATTATTTTATGACACTATTTTTACCATGCAATATATTATTTGTCCACCCCTTTTTACTATGAATCTATTGCGGCGGTAAAAAGGTTTTTAGTAGCACTCTGCGGTTCCTTTGGAATTATTTAAGATGTTAAATCATATATTGTACAGAATGGGTTAGATTTTGCATAGACAATTGCACTTAAACCTATTAATACAAAAATTATATGGCCACAATTGAACACATTTTCATTACAATAAGTGCCTAAATTTCTTGGTGCTCTAAACAAAATGGGCTTATGATTATAAGCACACAATCTGCTATCACTATGAACAGTGCTGGCATATCTAATATCCATCTCCTTCTTGAAAACTTAATGTACAATTATATACCTCAATGCAGCTAACTAACTACTCTGCTCGTGTTAAAAAAGAAACTAATATATTTACAGGTGAGTCAAACGTGGAAGATTTCATGGATATAGTTTTTAGGTGAATTCTCCAGTGAGTGCAGAAGCAGCTCTACGAATGGCTCTGGCAACCCTCCAGATCTCATGTTGAATTCTTGCTACCCTTTCTCTTTCACTAAAACCATTTGACGTAGTAATAGAATCAGAAACCCCTGGGAAGAAATTCAGCCTTTCATGGTCGTTGGAAGGCCCAAACACCTACAACACAAAATGTCATGTTTTCATTTAAGTTATGCATAGATTAATTTGTAAAAAATTCTCTTATTGACTTTTCTAAAAACTTATTTTAAACTTCTATACAAGATAAAAAGTTTTTTTTTTCCTATTTTCTTCTCCTAAATATTTTTTTTAGATAAGTTTATATCAATAACGGCACAATAGTAGTTAACAGAGACACTCACGAGATGCTTGAACCACTGTCTTCCTTGAAGTCCATCTGCATCCAAGAAGCCTTTTTCAGCAAGCATTAGTCTATCATTCAATGCTCGCTTTTTCATATCGACAGAACAACCTTCAGTTTCTTGCAGTCTCAGTTTCTGCAGTTCAAAACAAAGAAAGACAAGCATAAATAGTAAATACATGGCAATAAGAAATAACAAATACCTTTAATAAAGCATAAGAAGATGTATCAATGTATGAAAATCTGATGTGGTTATTTTGGTTTTACCTTTAATTCATCATCAGCTTCTTTGGCAGCAGAAGCAAATTCTTGAATTGAAGTAGTTAACGGATGCAGAGAAATTTGCTGATCTACCAAGTTGCTCAACATGTTTTTGTACAGCTGCATAAAGCAGGGAAAGATTATATAATCAATATATGAATACTCTAGCAATTGTGCATGCAAACATCAATATTACAAAAACTATATTCAATTCACTACTCACTCTTTACCTCTGCCCTATTATATTAATTTTCTATTCTTCCTTATTAAATAAAAACCCGTGATTTTAGATAAAATCAATAATTTAATGTAGTTCATGAAAATTCAATTTTAAATATTTATGTTTAGCAGAAGAAACTGTTTGATTTAATATTCAGTGAAAACATGTTCATTGTCCATCCATTATTTGGGCAACTTCCATGCATTATGCATCATGCATGTCACTAACAACTACCAATTGATTTAATTTTGTAGTTAACTCCCAAATAAAATTCCCTAATTTATTTGGCAGCACAACTACCTCTCCCAAAAGACAGTAGCTAGCAAGAAGTTAGGTTAAATCAGAGATGAACATAACTGCGAACCTGTAACTCATTTGCATATGAAAGGTAATTGAAAGGAAGAATGCAATCGTCAGCCAAATGAAGGGCTAGAAGTCCCCAAACTCCAGTAACTAATTATACAACAAAGAAAAGAAAAGTTACATTTTATGACTGCCACATGGATAAACAATTTATTAAGAAAAGACATTTTTAGACCACATTAAGCAGTTAAAAGAGAAAACTAACCAGCAACATGGCGGTGGAAGAATGGATCTCCATACTCTGCCATCCAGTTATAGGAGTCGAAAGCAGTGTGATAGACGGGAAAATCTGGAAATCATAGAGATTATTACATCACGAATTATTAGATATCCAAGCCTATGGATATAACATATATAGACATTACATATTAGAAGCATATTGTGCTAGAAATTATTTAATTTTGTGACCACAGGCTTTAGCTTTTCCAATCATTCTACTAGCACATTTGGCAAGACTTTCCACTAATCATACAAAATGTTGAAATCTTCTTTCGGATGAGGTACATACCTCTTCCATAATACATATCAATGGATGGAACCCCTGCGTGTTGCACAAATGGAGCAAAATCAGAATCAACTCCACTGAGCCTTTGAATCTGCAAACCAACAAAACAAAAGGTACTAAGCAATAAGATAATATGACTAAAACCCAATTTACAAAAAAGCAAGGAAAAAACCCATATTATCATAACAGTACAGCAATAAGATTTAATTTAAAAGTCAAATATCATATCCTACTAAAAAAAATAAATCTATCATCAAGGGAAACAAAGAATGGCAGTCTCCTATTGACCCAGTTTCAGTTTTACACACTGGCTGCCAAAACTCAAGGTACTCGTAAGATCCCAATTATAAGCTATTAATTATCAAACTACTTTGAACTATATGCCAGCTCAAAACCCAAGTTTGATCAGTGACTGACAGAAATTGAGTAGCAATAGGATCCTGGGCATTAAACAACACTGTTAATTAAGATATCATAGTCCTCTGGAGCATCATGACAATTGTTACAAACACTTAACCAGTAGTGACAGAAACATTACATTATTGCCTCCACCACCAGCAGCCCAATTCTCATATAATGACACACCCTCAGAGTCAGGATCCTTGACCTGAAATTAAAGCAAAAGCTGATCCGTGTTCAGAATCACTGAATTACCCAGAGCAAGCATGATATGCATGTTAAGAATTATCCATATGTATGTACATCTGCAAATGCATTTATAAATGATAATAGTTTCAAATAAATACCTTTTTCATGACCTCAAGAATAAGATTGTCTAGCTGAGGAGTTGAGCCAACGAAGAAGCCAGGGCCTTGAACAGCACAGTCAACATTAAGGTATGCTACAGCTTTGGAACCCAGATTAATAAGGTTTTGTTCAACCCACTCAGTGGATCCTATCTAGAAAAACAGATAAACTTGATTTAGATAGAATATTACATGAAATGACACCATTATTAAAATAAAGCAAACTCATTTAATTTAACAGAGAGCATATCTGAATGTTGAAGAAGGCAACTGACAACACATTGAAGAAAAGAAAACTGGCAGGAAAAATTGCAATTGCTATCAAGAAGAAAATTGCACAAGCAAGACAACACATTTAATTTAGGCATAGAAGACCAATGATAGTAGAGTTTCACACTGAATGTTCAAAATTATTTGTCACTGGCTTTTCAACAACCAGTGACACCACCACATCACACTATGAAAGTGGTTACAACAGATATTAACAAGAATGAAAAATATTAAAAACCAAAAGACCCCACCATGCATATCAGTTGTTAAGAAGGAATTATTACCCACCATCCCAAATTCCTCTGCATCCCAACTGCAGAGAATGATTGTCCTCCTTGGCTTCCACCCCAAGCCCAATAGAACAGAAAACCGACGAGCAATGTCAAGTAGGGCAGCTGTCCCACTGCTGGGATCAACAGCACCATACGTCCATGCATCTCTATGGTTCCCAAGCAGAACATGTCGATCGGGCTCTTCCGATCCCTTTATGACAGCAAAAACATTTTGAATGGTAGCCACCTTCATTTCACCCTGAAAAATAGAAAACAGATCAAGAAGAAAACACACCAGACACTATCATAACCTTCAGCTTAACCGCTCCTATTCTACCTTTTCAAATTCGGCTTCATTTCTATCAACAAATATCATAAATGCATAATGAGTCACATAGGGGAATGAAAAATGTACAAGAAGAAACTCTAAACAGGACACTCTCTAAAAAACTTTTCTAACACATGAATTAAACTCATTAATTAAGAAGTAAAACACACATTTTTTTGTGTGTAATTTCTATTAAATTTCAACCATTAATAAAGATTGTACTGTGCCCAAAAGAGTATGTTTAAGAATGTGTTGAAAGTTCACCAGAAAAAAGAATAAAAAATTTACCAACAATCGTGGTTTGCTTCAAGAGCCAACTCCAAGTAATAGACAAAAAAAGGAAAATTTCCGTTTACCCCATGTCAAATGCCCTTGTACTTTCATATTCATCGAAAAACATTTTTTTTTGGGTAAATAAACATACGAATTTATTTCCTCGTAACTTAACATGATGATTTCTTAGAAAGGAAGAACTAAATCTACATGTTTTTCGAGAACCAAATTCATGGATATGAAAATATAAGAACTTTGACCATGACTAAAAATACATTTTTCCCATATAAAAAGTGTCTTGTCTGCCAGATTTTCCACATCTGCACGTTTCTTGACTGAAAGTTTGAAGACCAAATTTATCAATATCAACATTAAGAACTTAGACCACTTTGACTAAAAACACATTTTTCCCTTAAAATAAAGTGTCTTGTCCACCAGATTTTCCACATTTGAAAAGTTTTGGCTTAACCAAAGGAACCAAAAAAAAAAAAAAACATAGGAAAAAAGAAACAAAGCTTTCAGATTTGCCCGATCTTAGCAGTTAGCCCCTCCTTGTTATCATTTTCAAGTACTACAAACCAGTATCAGAAGAACTGTTTCTTTTGTTTGAGCAAGTACAGGTTGGGCCATAAAAGAGAATGTAAAAAAGTGAAAGACACTACTCAAAAACGAGTCTTATGGGTTGAGAGAGACACTACAATTACACACACATTACACATAGTCCCCTCACCTGGTAAGTGAAATTGAGCATGGTGGGGCCAGGACCAACATGCCTGACCTTAGACTTAAGGGTGCTCCTCCACTCAAGGGGCACAGAAACACCCCCAAGAGAGGACAAAATGGTGTCAGCAACCTCAGCTGAGAGGGGCATAGAGGGTATTTTGGGAAACCTTTTCAAAACCTCACTATCTTCCAACCCGAGTCTCTCACCACCCTCAACCCCACCCCACCCCGGAGTCAGTGGGTCCCCTATCCCCCTCATCACGTGCCCCCTCTCAAACCCCTCCCGCCACGTGTCGCTCTCGCCGTACACCAGCACCGCCGCCGCCCCGTGCTTCTCCGCCACCTCCACCGCCGCGCCCCGCCCCACCCCGCCGCCCTTCCTCACCACCACCACGCACCCCCTCACGCTCACCCCCATCGCCGCCAGCGCCTGGTAGTCCCTCTCCCTCCCGTAGTTCGCGAACACCGCGCGCGCATGCACCGACCCTGACGGCGAGTACGCGTGGTACGCCGCCACCACTGGCGCCGCCGACGCCGCCTCGCTCAGAGGGAGACTCGCCGCGGAGCCGTCTCCGAAGCGTGCCGAGAGGGAGGAGCGCACGGGGAACGAGAGGAGCGTGGCGTAGGACGCGGTATGGGCCTCGAGGCCCAGTGAAAGGAAGTGGTTGAGCACGTAGGAGGTGGTGTCCGACGCGGGTTTTGTTCCGGCGAGGTGAGGGTGCAGCGTGAGGGCGCGGAGGTAGGTGGAGATGGTGGAGTTTGAAGAGGTAGAAAGAAAAACGGTTTCCATGTTTCGGGAAGCAGAGGAGGGTGAAGAAGAGTGAGGGAAATGCAGAGCGTAGAAACTCAGAATGCAAATTATCAGCAGCACCACCATGGTGCTCAAAGGTGAGGGCTTTGTTGTCAGAACATTCATGGGCTTCGACATCATTTCTGAAGAAGAAGAAGAAGAAGAAGAAGAAGAAGAAGAATAAACAGAGCAGGCTCTGTTTTAGAGAGGAAGAATGAGCTTAAGTTCTTCACTTATTATTATAATTATTATATTATTATTCGTGTGGCTTTTTATATGGGAAATGATGGTGATCTTTTTATATGGTTCCGTGATTATTATTATCATTATAAGGGATGGAAAGAGGTGGATGACAGTGAGGGAGGATGTACTATGTCTGGATCCATGCACGGTGGAGGTTTGAGTCACAATGTCCATTTGTCGCCACAACAATCCAACTTCAAAGACAGCAACCCTTGTCACTACTCGAATGAAAACATTGGTTTTCTAACATTTATTTTTATGTATAGATACTTATAGTATAACCGGAAGAGTTAGTCGAATATAGCAAGACATGGTCATATATATGACTTTGATTTTTTACTTGTCTTTTAAGGTGGAAGTAAATTTAATATCTACCGTAAGTTATTGTGTTTAGTCTGAATACTGATAATTATTCCCTCCCTTTAAATTTTGTTTTTAAAAAATAAATACTGAGAATACAACCCAACTTGTGGCTATAAATCAACAAAAAAGTTGCTGCAGAAGCAGACACGAAAACTTTTGCCTTTTTCTTTTGATATTTTTCTCTTCAAAATTCATCCGTGTCTGGTGTGAAAAAGAATGAGAATCAATGTCTTGTTTCTCTTTCACTAGGAGATCCATGCCAAAAGGAGAGTGGATGTCTACGCGTGAGTGGGGAGAGCATTAGCTCTTGAGCATCCCGGAAAAAAGTGATGGTAGCATGAACATGCAATCATTATAATATGCTTTTATTTGGGCAGAGGAACTTACGGGAGACCCAGGGTGTTCCCTTAAAATTCTCCAAAGTCCAAACACAACTCTCCACGTGGGGCCTTTTAAGATTTGAAGCTATTTAACGAAATTCTGATTTGCTACGTGCCATCTTGCTGGGGTGTTATCTTATCCGCTAACCGAGTCGAGTGGCTGGCAGAATTATGGCATTTTTGGTGCGATCTGTTAAACCTTCGCCATTAGTCCATGATATGATGAGGATGTAATCATGTATGATACTGAAACAGTTGAAGAAAAGGACTTGGTGGCGTTACGCGAGGGCAGCCAAGGTAGATAAGATTCAGTTAAGATTATTGCAAGTGACATGCTTTTCGATGTGTCCCTGCCTAGTGGCTGACCTTTACAGCCAAAGCACACAAGACAAAACAAAAACAACGTGGCGGCCATAAACGTTAAAGTATTTGCTGCTGCTGTTAACTTGTCAGTTTCAGGACAAGTATTCGTGTTCTTGCGAATCTGTGTCAGCTTAACTAGTTTCTTAGCCGAAGTTGAGTATGCTACACGGGCCAACTATCAAATCGCGCAGCTCAACTCAGCACATGGATAGACAAGTATTCGTGGTTCTGCTGAACTGAAAAACTCAGCACAACTCACTGAAGCACACTGAATCATACAATTTAACAGACTCGGTTAAATGTAAAAGGCTAAAACGAATAAGAAAAGAGATAAAAGGCCAAAGTCTTCGTTAAACCATAAACCAAAATCAAACTTTAGATAAGGGAATATGGAGGGAATGAGATTATCACTCATTTTCTATCCCATTACAATTTGTGCCTAAAGTTTATGGCATATTCCATTTTGGTCAAGGAAAGGTCATTGGCAAGTAACAAACAAAAGCATCAGCTTAACTACAGCCTCAAAAATAAACATTAATGAAGACAAAGCTACCAGACCTAATCTAGTATCCAGGAATAGGAAATTTTGGATGAAAAGGTGATTAGAGACTTTCATCTCGCTGCGGCTCTAGCACTCATTGATGAATGGTAATTGGTGCTTCTCTGCTTCCTGTAAGAGGTATATACATCATCATACTGACTCACCTCATTGGGATTGGCTGTGGCCCCAAGCCCCAACCTGCCAGAGCCACTGGCTCCTGGCTTTCGTTCTACAGTCCCATCAGCATAGGTTCCTGTCTCTGGATCAACCTGCAAGTTTGGGGGTGGAGGTATGCAAGCACCTCCCTTTCGTACTGGAGGATCCCTCTCATATTCTCTATCAGCTTCCGTTCTACAGTCCCATCAGCATAGGTTCCTGTCTCTGGATCAACCTGCAAGTTTGGGGGTGGAGGTATGCAAGCACCTCCCTTTCGTACTGGAGGATCCCTCTCATATTCTCTATCAAATTCATCATCTTCATCTCTGGAATCAGAATTCATAGGACCCTCCGAAGGATTTACCTCTCCAATTTCTTTGAAAAATTTTGACACTCTTTGAAGGATTTCTGATGGCGGTACAGTTGATGGCGGTATTATAGTTGGAATATCCAAAGGGCTTAAAGGAGAATATGGGACCCCACTACCAATCTGCATCTTTCTAACCATTCCAGGAATGAGACCAGGAGGGAATAACGGATATGGTGGCAATTGTTCACTGGTGCTGGCTGATGGAGTGGGCAATAAATGAGCACCAGGTGCTTGGTTAGCTGGTTGAGCAGAAGATGGTATAGCCATGGACCCAGGAAAGGCATTGGTAGGAGCAGAATTTGGAAGAAACTGCTGAACTGCTAGGGGTGTTGATAGTGACTGTGCTGGAGCTGCATGTTTATCGGGACGATCTTGATCTAAGAGACTTGAACCAGAGCCTAATCTATCCGGTTGCCACTGCTGGGCAACATGATTAGGTGTCTGCAGCAATCCTGCAACAGGGAGGGGAGAATAAATAATAAATAATTTCCTAAATCATATAATAATAATATACACCTGAAGTAATCAATCTCTTGTAAACTTTAATGTTAAAGGGAACTAAATTAAGTTGTCTCTAGTTCAGTGGTGGCCATTGTGGGTGAAAAAGTAATCACAGCTTACTGCTTAGTCATTTATTACAAGACTTCACAAAAAACACCAAATCAGCTTGTAGTTTTCCAATGGATAAATTTAATACAGATGAGACAAAAGAAGTTACTTAAGTCAATCCCTTCCCTCTTCTAAAAGAAAGCAAAAAGAACTTGAGGAAATGAATTTCCACAAAGGACGAACATAGTTGCAGTTTTTATTACCAATTAATGCCTCACATTGAAAATTATCCAGCTATCACGAGAGAAGTAACTCACTGACTTCTGCAAGCCATGAGAAATTCTGGTTAAAACAGAGATGTTTACCTGTAACTGATTCTGCAGAAGCAGAGGATAAATCCTTCAAAGCCCCAGGAAAAGGATTTGTTTGTGGACCACCAATCATCTCACCCTTCAGTAAAGATATAGTCTCTTGATCATATACTGTTTTAGAAGCCCAGAACTCCACCATTTGCTGCAATCTTTTCCTGTATTCCTCATTGCTTTGTGGGTTATGATAAATTCTTGCAAGCATGGAGCCCAAAACAGGTTTCAAGGCAAGAGCTTCACTGTCAAGGTCATTACTGCTTGTCCTCCGATTTAAGCTGTGAAGTAGTGATACAAAAGTCAAGGATGATAAAAATCATATCCATACACTCTAGCATCAATGTGAAGAATATTATCTAACCAGGATAGAAATAAGCAAGAGAGCAAAAATCTTGTCATGCCAAGAACTTGCAAAACAGTACAATGAAAGGAAAAAGATGCTCTACTTTTATATAATTAATATTTAATAGTACAAGTATAGGGCCAGACAGTTAACAGTTAACAAAACTTCCAAATAAAATTTAACCCACATCTTGTCGTGAAAAGTGCTTTTATATAATTAATATTTAATACTACATATTGCTTGCCTATTTTCCAAGAGATTGGGATGATTATAGCATATTTTTTGGGGAAAAAAATGAAATAAGTGAGTAGGGATAGTGTAAGGCAACAGTAGTAAGTCCTATTAAACATGATTTTCATTGCATTCTTGGTGTCACAAAACTAATCCACCAATCAGGCAAAAACTGCAAATGGAGAAAAATCTATACTAATAACCAAGCTTATTTTGCCACAACAGAGGGAAAATACGATGTTCTCACAATCCATACTTTGTGCCTTTTAGAAACACAATTCTAAGAGATTATCATATGCTAATCAATCAAATTATGTTTTCTGAAATCTTGGAGGGAAGAAAAGTCAAGGCTTGATAGAATAACTACAAATTGCTTACCTAATTCACAAGATTTGAGATAAAAATAGCAGATTTTGGGGAAAAATGAAATAAGTGAGTAGGGATAGATCAACAGCTGTATCTCCTATAAACATGATTTTTATTGCATCCATGCTGTCAAAAGACTAATCAACCTATCGGGCAAAAATTGCAAATGGAGAAAAACCTATACTAATAATCAATTTAACATGAAAAGTCAATAAAAATGAGGGAAAATACAGTTTTAGTGTGATACATACTTTTTGTTCATTAGAAGCACATTTCCAAGAGTTTATCATATGCTAATCAGTCAAATTATGTTTCTGAAATGTTTTTTTTTTTTTTTGGGGGGGGGGGGGGGGGGGGGGGGA